ACGATTATAATTTTATTTAAATCTTTATAGAGTAATCTAATAAAAACAATATAATTAAGCACATTAGGAAGAAAAATTATTATAATCTATTATAGTCATATGTTTACTGTCCACTTCACAGAAATAATTATGTGTATATTCAATCTGGATACGGTAAACATTGTTTATTAATGAGGCACTAAAAATGCACGAATAACTATTCTATTTTCACTTGTAAGATGATTTGATAAAAAAAATTAAGAAAAAATGTGGCCTACAAAAATATTGGACCGTTTGGCGTATCGGCTCCTACTTAACAAAAAAACTTGACCCGTTTAAAAAACACAAATCATAAATTTCCTACATTTTTGCTGGAGATCGGGCAATTGTTTCTATGAAGTTTTTTTGTAGCTGTTGATGTCTACTATCAACCTTTTAAATTTACCTAGGACTCCATCTGGACAAACGTCTAACTTGGAATCCTCATACCAGACTGAAACGACAAGAAACAGCTCGACGTATCCGACTACTTCAACACTTACTAGACAAACGCTCTAACCTTCCAATTAATTATAAAAGACTCATTTATATGACTATAATAAGGCCTATTTGGACTTACAGAGTTGAGCTTTGGGGCTCCACTAAACCTTCAAATTCCTCTCGCATCCAATCCTTACAATCCAAAATCCTTCGTAAAATCCTCAATGCTTACAAATAAAATTATCCATAATGACCTTAATGCTCCTTATGTATCAGATTTGGCCCAATCCAGATATCTGTCCTTCCATAATAAACTTCATAACCATCCGAACCCTCTCGTTTCTAGCCTTACTTCCTATTCAATTCCTGATAACCCTCCGAAGCGTCTGAAAAGAAGATGGCCACGTGATCTCCTAATGTAGTCATATCATTAGAGTGCTACCAATGGGTAGTTTCTCAACATGTGTTCCATGCCATTATATCCAAGTGCAAATTTACCAGATGTATTTTTTGTATACAGTTGTAAATATCATATAAATAAATAAAACCTTTTAAATATTTACCTCTACCTACACTCTGTATATTAAAAATTTTTTTCAGGCTCTCCGCAAAATTAAATCCGTTAGTGCCATTTCGTATAGTAAGTTAGTTTCTTCTTTTTCATATTATATATATATATATATATATATATATATATATATATATATATATATATATATATATATATATATAAGGTATATATATATATACATATATACCCACATATATTACTACAGTAAGGCTCGATATACGTTTTGTACCAAATATAAGCTTCTGTCATCCTCAAATACCATGGAATGCACAGGCGGATCTAGGGGAGGGAGGGAAGTCTTTCGGGCTGCAGCCCCCCCAAAATGATAAAATATAACCATGGTTTACAGAAAAAAATATTAAAAACTATCTCTTAAAGTATTCTTGTTCTTGTAATTACCTTTAATAGGACTTCAAGAACCACTAAAACACCATTTCATATAGGTAGTTAATTTCTTTTTTTTCTAATTAATTATCGCTAAATGTATATGAAAAAAAAATCTTTCGGGCTGAGACCTCCCCCCCCCCCAAAAATTAAATCCTGGATCCGCTAGTGATGGAATGGGGTACCGTTGGATCAAAAATTTCACGGGGGTTCAGCGAATCGTACTTTCCGCTTTTGTTTTTCTTTATAAAATAAATAAAGTCGATACAAACGTTTTGCTAGGCTTCGATACTGGAACGGTGGTAGGTATGTAGATCGATACGGGACAAATTGGGCTTTGAAGATTTTGATGCGCACACCAAGACCTAGATATTTCTCTCGGAACTATCGATACCTGCGTTCTCAACCCCCAAAACGTACTATTTTCGAGATAATATATCCCATTTATGTCCATGATTATATAAAATATTACTAAATTCTCTACAAAGGGAAAAATAGATCATCGAAATCGGACTATTTTTAGTAAAGATGCAGCTAATTTAAATTTGTAAACATGTTGGGTCCAATGGTTTAATGAAGTTTTAAATTAATTTATATTTCCTTCGTAGATTACATTTAGCGAAAAAATAACAACTGATTTCTTTTATGATTTGTTGTTGCATTGTTTTATTTTCTTATTAATGTACTGTTTGATCACTGAACAATATACTGCTATTATATATAAAAAGCTTTCGGACATAAGACCCTTCCAAAATTATATTCTGAATCCACTAATATTGTAAATGGGTTATGAGAAAACTATAATTAATGTTAGAGAAACACTTGTGGGAAACAATGAAAGAAAGATATGTTAATAAGTTTGTTTATTTTTTTATGGCTTGAGAAGGTCACCTCAACTACAATAGTCTGTTCAATTATTTTTTTTGTGGTGTAAATTAATTGAGTCACGTTTTTTGTTAAAAAGGAAGTGATAACATAAAAAATATTAGATTAAAGTAATTAAACATTACTGCGCATAGTAAACTAGACAATATTTATTTTGAACCAAAGTAGAATTTGCCATTATTAAAACTATTTTAAGAGGAATATGAGCTGGCATACATAACTAAGTTTCGTTTAAGAAAAAAATCATAAATTATATGTGATTTTATTTTATTCCTGTTTAACATTTACCCCTCTTTTAGAAAAGATTTCTCGTTAAATAATTTTTAAGTACATATTAATCAAGTTGAAGTTTATCAGGTATAATTTTGAAATTCATCTCAAGTTATTTACAGAAATGGTGAGACTTCCTATCCAGTCACCTTGAAGCACTAGTGGATTCAGCATTTAAAGCTTTATATATATATATATATATATATATATATATATATATATATATATATATATATATATATATGTATATATATAAAACGATAACTAATTTGAAAAAACTAACTACCTATATGAAATGGTGTTTAAGTGGTTCTTGAAGTCCTATTAAATGAAATTACATGAACAAGAATTCTTTATTTAAGACACAGTTTTTAATATTTTTATCTGTAAAATATGGTTATATTTTACCTTTTGAAGGTGGGGGGCTTCAGTCCGAAAGAACCTCCCTCTCTCCCCCCCCCATAAATCCGCTTGTGCCTTAAAGTGTTTTCGGCAAAAATTACTATAATTAACTGTTGCAAAGCTTTTATTTCTTATTTTTACCTGATATGAGATAAACATAATTGCCTAAAAACACATTAAATTCATAACAATAATGACTATTCAAATATTGCTTATGTAAAGTAGTTAATCTTTCACAATTTTATTTTAAATAATCAATTTTCGAGTGAAAAAAAAAGTCTTTTGGTGATACTAATCAATCAAATACTGCTAGGTCTCATGTAGTTTGTAAAACAATTATTTCTAGAGGACTTTCTACAAAACTTGTAGAGTATACTAAACAACACTTTTAGTATTATATGTTTATACTCTTTTGTAAGTAAAAAACAATATTGAAATAGCAACTCTTTAGTATATATATTACAATATTTACAATAATAACTTCTTCAATGTTGTTATTTATACTTCATTTGTTGTTCATATTGCACTTGACTTAGTTAGCAGTACTTTGTGTGTAGTACACAATGCTCTAAATGTACACCATAAAAAAAAAAAAAAAAAAAAAAACCTTTTCTTATGTCTAATTTCTTTTCTTATATAAATAAACTTTTCTTATGTCTTGTTATGCTCTAAATGAACACCATAAAAAAAAAAAAAAAACATTTTCTTATGTTTAAATTACACCACTGATGACTAAATGAGTAAAAATTTGCCTATTTATATTTACAAATTTTCGAGTTATAATTTATTTATTTTTTTCCACTATGGTTGCTTGACCATTGTTCATTTTATAATAGTTCATTTGCCGATTGTTGATAAATAAATTAATCGACAATTAGTCTTTGACTGCAAAATTTATTTGTACATTTCAAGGAAACTCAGTCCTCTTCAGCAATTTAAAATGTTACAATAAATAAATATGTTTAGTTTCATTCATGAATCTCATCATTATTAATAAAAAGGAATAAAGCTTAAAAAACAGTATCTCATAAATAAATACAACAATTCACTTATATAACACTGTTAAAAACAATAATATATATACTTTACATTTTATTCACTCAAGAAAATGGGTTAGTTACAATTCAATAGGATAAATACAAAATTACATTATTTCAGTAAATAACAGATAACATTTAAACAATGGACTCCAAAAATATTAGTTGCAATGTTTTTGTATATATATAAGTGAATTTATGCAAAATTTGAAAAAAAAGAATGAACCAATATGAAAATCCAAATTAAATATAATAGAAATCATACAGCTTTGCGTTCACGTATAATAGATAGTAACCACAGCCATGAAGTTGATTTTGATAACATAAAAATATATGATAGATAAAGCAACACTATAAAATGAAAATTTATATATAAAAAACATTTGAAACAAACTTTAAATAACTGTGGCCACAATACCTCCAATCCTAATTGCTATTTTAATCCAATTATTTAAGTATCATTGACCAATCCAATTGAACTGAAACTTTGTGACTAACCATTTTCTTGGGTGAATAATATGTAAGTTTATATTGTTTTTAACAGTGTTATAGAGCGAATTATTGAATTTATTTCTGGGATCCTGTTTTATAATCTTTTTTATTTGCAATGACGAGATTCATGAATCAACCTAAAAATATTTATTTATTGTGACATTTTAGATTGCTGAGGAGAAGGACAGAGTTTCCTCGAAACGTACAAATAAAATTTGCAATTAATTTTTGATTAATTTATTTATGACCAATAGGCAAATGAACCACGATATGATTTATCTTCTATTATAATTTTTTTCACCTCTGGAATAAAAACAAAATATTATTTAAAGTAACCTCCAATTTTTTCTTAATATGTTTACATTTCCTGTTATTAACGAAATGAATGCTTGGAAAACATTCTCAAGAAACAATGGAACCTAATTATGTAAATCATACAGGCTTCATGTTTTTTTTTTTTTTTTATAATTAATGTGGACCTAAAAAGTTTTGATGATAGATATGGCTGCTTTAGAACAGTAGAAGCATGATTGCGATAGTAGTGTGCGTTGCAGCTTGCACTTTCAAACTTTATTGCTGCGATCCTTCTCAACAAATTACAGAAATAGTGGAGCCTGAACAGAAGGCGACATCAGCTGTGATATTTTTACATGGAGCAGGTATGACTAAAAACTTATAGTTCATCCATTATTATTGAAAAATGGTGTGTTCATCTAATAGATTGTTGTAGTTCATATAATTAGTTTGATTTATTTAAATTTGAGGGATGTATATTTATTACTGATTTATATGTATATCTATATTTCAATTATAGATAAGAACATTGTTAAATACAAAACCTCATGGTATTTTTCTCGGTCTCTCACCAAAAAAAAAACCCACAACTTTTACTCATCTTAAAATATTATTGGTGATAAATAATCAGGACGCAGTCATTTTTGAGGTTTAGGTTTAGTCATTAGTGCTGACGTTTCAACCCAAATATGTGGGTCATCATCAGGGCTAAAAAAATTGTTTCATACAATCAGATATGTAATATTATAAGAAAGATAACGGTTAATAATGAAAAATAGTGTTTGATATATAAAATAGACAAATGAAATATGTTATAAGCTACACAAACTAAAAAATAATCCATTTATAAGAAATGTAATATATACTCTTACTAATCCTGTTTCGAGCACTAGTATTCAAGTACTGACATTTTGGTAGATAAGTGAAAGGGTTGATGGAGGATTTTCCAGATGCGCTTTTAAGATAACAAAGGTTGGTAAACGGAGTCTGTGGAGGGTAACATTTTTACTTTCACTTACCTATATATGAAATATATAGTAAGGCTAAGTATTGCGATCGTGAAAATTTTCGAATTTGAGTTTTCAACGGAAATACATGTTTTGAGGTTTTCTGAGTCCTGCAAAATGGTCTGTGTGTCTGTGTGTGTGTATGAGAACAGTCTAGCCCAAAAAATAAAAGTCGTACGAAACTGATATCAAGTATTTAAGAAAGGTATATGCCTTAGATGTGGCAGCAACTTTTTCCTTGAAATTGGTTAATCGGAAGTGCCACTTCAACGTGAAAAACATTTTCACAATTTCCTCAAAAAGGGCTCTAACAATTTTGATTAAACTCTGTGAAGCATTGTACAATAAGTTACATTAAGTGGTCTTTAATATCACTTAGGTCTTGTCACTTCACAGGGCTTAACTTAAATGCCCAACGTTCGTATACGTCTTCCTCTAAAGTACCTTTGTAATGATTTATTTAAAAATATTAACTATCTTTTATTGACAGTAACTATATAAAGTGACGATATATAAATATGAAAACTGGAGAAAAAACGAAAAATGCTTATCCAGGTTGAAAATGAATCGCCGGAAATAACAGTCAGAAGGTATAGTATAATACATCGTTGGAAAGCAGAGAATTTTGGAAAAAATGATATTACATAAATAAAGTTGTAGAAGGTAACGGAGAGAGTGGCGAAAAAAATATAAATAATAATTTCAGAAAACTAACATTATTAACGTAAATCACATGTTTCCATTGTAATTAAATGAAATTTTCTTACCTAATGTAAATTTTTTTCTAAGTTTGAAAACAAATATTTAAACGAAACACTCCAATGCCATTGTTTACTATTTGTATACTATTTCATTATACTTGTGTCAAAGAAGCAGTGAAATATAAAAATATTTCATGGATATGTTTATAATCTTAAATACAAGTACTGTAGTTATATATATATAATTAGGTATCTGTTGGACGTTTATTCCAAAAAAAAACATCTAGTAACCTTTTAGAAAATTAAATTAGTGAATTTGATTAATTTTTCCTTTCTGAAATTTTTAAAAATTTTCCACTTCAACATTAGCGGATCCAGGATTTAATTTTTGGGGGGGGGGAGCTTCAGCCCGAAATATTTTTTTTTCATATACATATAACGATAATTAATTTGAAAAAAAAGAAAGAAATTAACTACTTTAAATTAACTACTTCTTTAAGAAATTAACTACTTTAAATTAACTACTTCTTACTAGGAAATAGTATATAAGTGGTTCTTAAGTCATATTAAATGTAATTACAGGAACAAGAATACTTTAAGAGGTAGTTTTTAATATTTGTTTCTCCAAAATATAATTATATTTTACCATTTTGGGGGGACCTCAGCCCGAAAGCCTCCCCCCCCCGTAAATCCGCCTGTGACTTACAATTAGTGTGAAAACGTTTGACCTATCCATGGGAGGCAATGAAAATCTCGTAATATCATTTTAGTGAACTTTACAATGAAAAATAACAGTTTAATAACTAATAGTCCTACAATCCATAATCATTTATAGGTTAAATATTCAGACGTACGTTCAAATGTCTCTAGGCATATATGAGCCTTTCGATTGACAGAATGACTAACTCCAATTTCAACATTCTTTATTATTAATTTTAGTGATGTTTCTAGTGGCAAAATTTATACCTTTATTCTCAGTTCTATATTTCATCACTGCAATCACCTACTCAGGAATCAACTTACTGTCTGCATAGACTTTTCCAACTAGAAATGTCACTAAAATGACATTACTCAAAAATGTTGAAATTGGACTTAGCCATTCTGTCAACTGAATGGCTCGGAGACTGAAGTTGAGTGGTTTATAAAAGCAGATGGAGAGACTAGATTTTTTATTGCTTACCGTCGTTTTAATAATTTGTAATTTTAATCTTGTTGATAATTAGTTATCTGTAAGCTTTAAGCTTTAACTCCACTTTAAATGCACTTCAAAGCTTTTATAATAAATAGCCCAATAGTACCAGAAAATAATTTTATTCAAAGTAGAGTGTTAAGTGAAAGTTGTGTATTGCGCGCGTCAGATTTTTGTTTGTAGAATGGAAATAATTTGATAACTACAATATTCAAGATGTATAAGAGATTTACGTTGTTTCTTATGATTAGAAAATTGTAACTATTGACCTGTCACGAAGTTAAAATAAATAAGAGATCACACTCAATACTAACATAAAATGGTTTGAGTGAAGGTATACAATAGTTAGAAAAATAATGTTTAAAATACAGACAATTGAAATGGCAAGTAATACAATATATTATAAAACATTTTAAGAATAACAATATTGATCATAAAGAAAAAAAAACTATTATATTAAGGATTACATAGTACTAATAGCTTAAGTATAAACATAATTGGTAATTGGTTGACTGTCGTGGATAATGAAGAGAAGAGTAGTTGGGGTGGTCAGTCAAAAAGGAAGGCAAAAATAAATGATAATATTTATTTTTTTACATATGCCGACGTTTCGACCTGAAGTTCAGGCCTTCATCAGGGCTAAGAAAATAACCAGATAACAAGGTATGAGAAACATAAGTAGTGATGGTAAAAAACAAAACAAAAAAAAACATAATAAATAAATTTTTGATTATGCCTACTTCATCATTCCACACTCTGTAACGGTTATTATTTTTTATCTTTTAGTTCTTAGTAATTATTCTAACAACTTCATTTTACTTTATATTTATTTTTATTTTTTTTTATATTTTTTTTTTTATTATTATTATTATTTTATTATTTTTTTTTTACCATCACTACTTATGTTTCTCATATCTTGTTATCTGGTTATTTTCTTAGCCCTGATGAAGGCCTGAACTTCAGGTCGAAACGTCGGCATATGTAAAAAAATAAACATTATCATTTATTTTTGCCTTCCTTTTTGGCTGACCACCCCAACTATTCTTCTCTTCCTTAGGTATAAACGTATCTGTGCCTGTGGACAGTTATAAAAACCTAGAAAATGATTGCGTCTTAACTATTTATCACCTATGATATGTAGAACAGTGGACTAACTTCCATTAATACTATTGAAATATTAATTCAGTCAAACTTTTCAACATATCTGTTGTATAATTGTATAATTATAAAGTTAAATAATGACAAGTGAACTTATGATAGAGTTAAGAAGAGAAAAGTGTTTATTTTTATTCGACTATAAATTAATATGACTTGTTACATATCTACGGAGGAGGGGCTATCGGGCTGAAGCCCCCCCTCCAAATGGTAAAATATAACTATGTATTACAGAAAAAAATATTAAAAAACATCTCTTAAAGTGTTCTTGTGCGTGTAATTACATTTAATAGGACTTCAAAAACCACTTAAACACCATTTCATATAGCTAGTTAATTCTTTTCTTTTTTTTCAAATTAATTATCGTTGATAAATAAATCTTTTGGGCTGAAGCCCTCCCTCCCCCCTCAAAAAATTAAATCCTGGATCCGCTAGTGATTTGTTAGACTCCATTCAAGATTTGATTTATTTTTTCAGGAGGAAGTGGCCCGGAAATCAGAGGAGTTGTGGAAAGCTATATAGGTGACCTTTCTCAATTTGCTAACACCAGATTTATATTTCCAACAGCCAGACCTGCTTCGTTTCCGGCATTTCCATGGAATGGTCAGGTAAATATCATTTTAGGGGCTGTCCATTTGAAATCACCTCGACATTTTTGGTTTTTATATATTTTTTTTACCAGTTATTACATATTTATTTGAAAATTCAAAACTGTCGTTCAAAATATTAAAGGCTCACAGTTTTTTCTCGGCAGTCATTTTAAATTTTCTTTTCGACTGCAAACATGTTTTGAGAAAATGTCTGTAACTCTGGTTATACTTCAGATATCGTACCAAAATAAAAATTTAAATAAATTGGAGTATTTTTTTTTCTGCATTTCTGTTTATCAATACATCTCCTAAAAAGAAAGGAAAGAGACAACAGAAAACAGATAAAAACATCTGATGTCGTCGACTTTCCTACTTATTTCAGAAAAGTTTTCATATTTTTATATAAGTTCATGAAGAAACAAATAAAAATTGAACTAGATTTATTTTCCTCAAAATTGAACAAAGAGAAGATTTAAGTACGATTTATCGTTAATTATAGCAATGAAAACCGGCTTCAGGTAGAACTTTTTGCCATAGCTTAGTATTGTCAAACAATAATTTCTGTTAAAAGTAGAGGAAATAGTGATGCTTGTGTGATGAAGGCAACAGATTTTCTTACTTTCACTTAGTCACCTTTTTTCTCTCATTCACCCCTTTCTGAAACCAGGATATGAAGCCGTATTCTTACATTGGAAATTGAAAAGCTGTAACTTCATTATTACTTGTTCAAAATGTTTCCATTCCAGTTGCCATAACATTTTTCTTTTCTTTATAACTTTTTTTCCTGTATTTTCTCGGAAATTTAGTCCATATACGAAAATTGAACGGAAAACTATTAGAACATTATAGAAAAGTTTCATCAAAATCGTTAGAGCCGTTTTCGCGCTATAGTCTAAGGAAAAACGGATTTTTCATTTATTGCGCGCAAGCTATTGCGCATGGAGCACCGAATTTCTGTCACAGGCATTAGTAGTCAAAACCCTACAAAATAAAAAAAAAAGCAACAAAATCAGTTCAATAGTTCTCGAGAAAATCTTGGCACAGACAGACAGACAGACCAATGGCTAAAAATATGTTTTTCGGACTCAGGGGGCTCTGAAACTTCTAGATCCGTCGAAAACCGCATACCGGAAATTTGACCCGATTGCAATACTTTCCTTACCTAGTAAAAGAGTCTCGACTTCTTACTAATGAAATTTCAATCTTGAAAAAGTCTTTATTTTAAATATGAATTTTCAAAAACGCTGATGAGTCGTTTTAGACGATTTTTGATGGTATATATCACAAAAGTGACGAAGTGAAAAATGATGAAATTGGTACAGTTTATACCTCTTAATGATAAGAATTTGTGACACTAATAACTGCGTAATTTTTGCAGATATCCAAACAAAACAAAAACTAAAATTATGATGATGTTTTACTCTAAATTTTGTATCTGCATAACATATCTCATAAGTAGTGAGGAATGTGTTTAAAAAAAATGAAAACTATAAAATTAAAATTAAAGTAAAACGAGACATTTTCGCTGCCATACTAAAATAATGAAAAGTCTCAAACTTGATTTTGTTTTCATATGAAGTTCTATCAGTGTAAAATGAAATTTCAATGTTGGAAACCTTGTCCTTTTTTAAGATATGAATTTTCAAAAAACGGCCAAAAGTCATTTTCGACTAGATTTGAATTAGAATATCATAAAAGGGACATATGAAACAAATTTAGTGACTGAGACTCAATCGGTTGCAGATTTGTATCGTATCAAATATGTCTGGAAATTGTGTTATTTAAATGATAAATGAGGAAGAATGAGAAAGAATGAGGAGCTGCGGGAACTCTATAGTGAACCTGATATAATAGCATCGATAAAAAGAGCCCCAATCAGATGGTTAGATCATGTGGAAAGAACGCCAGACCAAAGAATGCCAAAGAGGATGCTGCATGAGATGCCGGATGGCAAAAGAAGTAGAGGGCGCCCTCGAATCAGATGGATGGAGGATGTTGAGGACGATCTGAGGCGGCGATGGAGGGAAGCAGCACAAGACCATGGAGATTGGTTGGTTGTAATGGATGAGGGCCGGGTTCTTGCAGGACCGTAGCGCCATAATAATAATAATAATAAACGATAAATCAGCATATGAAATTAATTGAATTTTAATTTATCGTTATCATACCAGACTGAAACGACAAGAAACCGCTCCACGTTTCCGACTACTCCAACACTTCAAGACAAACCCTCTAAACTTCCAATTAATTACAAAAGACTCATATACATGACTATAATAAGACTTATTTGGAGCTATAGGGGGGAGGGGGGGTCCACTAAACCATCGAACTCATCTCATACCCAAACCTGACAATCCAAAATCCTCAATGCTCCCTACTTTGTTACAAATATAACCATCCGTAATGACCTTAATGTTCTTTATGTTTCAGATCTGGCTCAATCCAGATAACTATTCTTCCATAATAAACTTCAGATTCATCCCAAACCTCTCGTTTCTAACCTTCCTTCCTCTTCAATTCCTGATAACCCTCCGAGGCGTCTGAAAAGAAGATGGCCACGTGATCTCCTAATGTAAACATATCATTAGAGTGCTACCAGTGGGTAGTTTCTCAACAAGTGTTTTCACATCATTATATCCATATTTTCAAATTTACTAAATGTATTTCTTTAATACAGCTGTAAATATCATTAAGAACTAAGAAAAAAAAAGTTTACCATTACACTAATTCTATGGTATATATTTAAATTTTCGCTGCATTGACAGCTACAATCACATCAATTGACAATGTAAGCGCCTCAACAGTGAACTGTCACCTTAACAACTGTATTTGTCATTGGGAGGAAACATTGTTTTAAAAATCATGTGTAATATTTACTTCTGAACTCAAACTTGATTCTGTCCATCGTTTTGATGTATCGAATTCCTCAATAACGAATTAAATCTATTTATGTTATCATCATAGGCACAGACTTTCGATTTTGATGGAGGGGGAGGGCGATGAACAAAAAAAAAAGAAAAGAAAAATGGCAGGAGTTTTTACTATGTATAAAAATTCAACATAATTACTGTGGAACAAACAAATATAATATCGAATATTTAAAATTTATTTGTTTATATGCTTGTATAGTTATAATGATTTTTATTTTCACTTATTTTATATACTTGGAAATATTTTTAAAAAATATATAATTGAATATATAACTTATTTGTTTAAATTAAACACAGGGGGGAGGGAGAAACATTATCCATAACATTGGTGCATTTCTAGAAATTTTTCAGCTAAAAATGGATGTTGTAAAAAATTAAAAAATATTTTGTATTTATTAGTGTGTACAGCCTTACATAAAAAATGCAAGGTTTTTCACTGGACGGCTAGTTGCCGCCGAATATGTGATAAGAATAAAATGCAAGGATATGTTGATGTGCAGGCTGTACCGTAAATATATTTAAACATATTATATATAAGGGAAATGTTTAAACAAGTAATAGAAGACATCAAGATATTAGTCCAGTAAAACTAGGGATTGACCCCAATATTAAAAACATAAAGATCATACCTGTCAGAAATTGTTCATTACCTCCCCCATAATAACTGATAAAAAGTACCTAAGAATCCCGCGTCGGGTTTGGGATGAGGAGAGGAGGAAGAAGAATTGGAAACTGATATTGTTTTAGTTTTTTGAGGATATCTTGAAACTATTAGGTTTTTCTCGAAGATTGCTAAGTACAATATTAAAGAACTTTAAAATCTCTATAAAAATGACTCTGAACATTTTTTTGATTAAATCAATGGTTACCTAGATATTTATGAGATAATATTCATTACATTTCCACTTTAAGCAAAAATTGCTCCAAATCTCGAAATTGATGTTCATAGTAAACGATACTTTTTTGAAGTTGAATTAGTTTTTTTTAACTTTTTCATTCGTTCAATTTATTATTCAAAGTCTCTTTCTTTTAATGATTCTTAAAAGTCATTGATAACCAAGAAACTTAAATTTTGTAATTTTTAAGCCACTCACGTTTTATGTTGAATAAAACGTAATAACTAAAACAATTTTGGTTTATTATTTTCAATAATGAAACATTGTGATCGACCAAAAAATTCAAAAACATAACCCCCTCTCAAAATTTGAGATTTAACGTTTCAAGACGCGTAGAATTCGAAAAACCAATAAAAAGTTTTTGTCCGTCCGCCTTCCGCGCATTTTCTCCGAAACTGCTGGACCGATTTTTTTTTCAAATTTTAATATAAAATCAGAGGTCTCTCGAGGATGATCCTCCTTCATCGACATTAATATCCGCCTTTAACTTTCAAAATGGCGGCCGAAAAACCTGCGTTGCTATAGACTGTAGCTCCTAAACGAATCTACAGATTTCAATGAAACTTCGCTAAAGTCATTTTCTCGACGCCCTTTAAATTTATCTATATAACATACTTCAACGAAAAGAAGCTGGAAAAAAGTTACGAGGGATGGTAAAATTAAAATCCGAATAACTCGAAAAGTTTTTACTTTTTTGTTGATATTGTGATGAGATGTTTCAAAGGTATTTAAATTTCCTAAAAAATGAAGGAAGTTTCATCGAAATCAAAGCACTATTAGTAGAGATATCGCGGATTTTACATATTTTGGTTTATTATTTTCAATAATGAAACATTGTGATCGACCAAAAAATTCAAAAACATAACCCCCTCTCACAATTTGAGGTTTCACGTTTCAAGATGCATAGAATTCGAAAAACGAAAAAAAAATTTTTGTCAGTCCGCCGTCCGCCTAGTTTTTTAAAAGTTTACGAAATTTCCTAAAAAACAAAATAAAAATCGTTAGCATCGGACAATTAGGAGCAAAGATATGGTCTCCGGTTTTTTTTTTATGTGTTCTACTCTAATGTTATATCCTTGGTTTGGTTTTTAAATTTTAAATGTGTTACTAAACTAATGCTATTTTTTTTTTTTAGCATATTACTAATGATTAAAGAAAAACAGTTTAGTCCAATAATTGGAATCACCTTTTGTTTTTTCTTTGTAACTAGGAAGGTAATGTTACTTTAGATGTATAATTGTTTGGAGATAATAAACCATTGTGAAATAATGTGCAGCGTTTTTAATTTAGGTTACAACCAATTACTTCATAGTAAACTAGCAAGTAAATCGTCTTTAAAAAAAAATAAAACATTTAAGCGGCCTGTTAAGCAGTCAAACTACAGTAAGTTCGGGTTTTCATAAAATCATGGATTCTTCGCGATTTATTTTGTAAACCCCAATTGGACTGAAGGAACCACACTTTTAGATAAACTTCCTTGTTTGATAGACTTTAAATTTATATTAATTAAGTTGTGGTTCGTTATAGAGTAAGTTGATATTCATCCCTAATTGAGTAAAAATATGTCAAAATTTTTTTCTACAGTTCTTAAGAACTGTTACTTTTAATCAAGAAACAGTTCATTTACATTTTTCAAAAGTAGCAGGAACTCCCCCCACCTCTAGCTGCCAAGAGGTTAAGATTGTTTTAAAGGCCGCTCAATATTATATTCCCAATTAACACTCTCTTCTTTGCTTTGTCTAATTCCATGGTAAGCTGTACTCGCCTAAGCTCAGGAGAACCTGGGCATTTGTCCAGAGGCGACGGACTGGGAGAATTTATTAGGAATTAAAAAAAATAATAAGAAGCGTATGAGAAAAATATTTTAAAATCGCGATATCTATACTGATATTACTTCGATTTCGATGAAACTTCTTTCATTTTTTAGGTAATTTAAATACCTTTGAAACATTTCATCACAATATTGACGAAAAAGTGTATACTTTTTGAGTTATTCGGAATTTAATTTTATAATCGCTCGTAACTTTTTTTCCAGCTTCTTTTCGCTGAAGTATGTTATATAGATAAATTTAAAGGCTGTCGAGAAAATTATTTTAGCGAAGTTTCATTGAAATCGATATATTCGTTTAGGTGCTACAGTCTATAGCAACGCAGGTTTTTCTGCATTTTTATTTTTTTATCCTATATCAAATTCTTTCAAAAGTTATATTTAGCATTTTTCCGTAACTCTGAATAATGTGAAACGATTAACTTTTTAAAATAAACCATATTAAAGGTACTTTAGAGAAAGACTTATACGAACATTGAGTATTTAAGCCCTGTAAAGTGACATCAATGATGATAAGACCTAATTGATATTAAAGATTACTTCATAGTACAATGATACACCGAGTTTCATCAAAGCCGTTTTTGAGAAAATTATAAAAATGAGTTTCAGCGTTCATATAAAGTGGCACTTCCGGTTAGACAATTTTGAGGAAAATGTTGCTGTCACATCTAAGGCATATACCTATATTAAAAATAAGTAATATAACTTTTCGTTTTTGAGCTAGACTGCTAACATACAAACACACAGACCATTTTTCGGGACTTGGTCATTTGGACTCAAGGTACCTCAAAACGTGTATTTCTGTTGAAAACTGAGATTCAAAAATTTTCTCGATCGCAATACTTACCCTTACTATATATTACATACATACGTAAGTGAAAGTAAAAATGAATTAATAAACCTAATTAATTGATATTGAAGTCTATGCGCAAAACAAAATGCTTTATATAATTTGTATTTACATGACCACCTTTCATTGAGCATTTCATTAATTCTTCGGTAACGACACAATCTCTATAACCTTCACAGTAACATACAGGTTTTTATATCACAATTTTGGTGGCTTTTAATTCAAGTTTTTAAAAAATGGCATAGAGAAGAAATGGAACATCATAGATTGCATTTTGTGGAATCAGAATATCAGGACAAGATTGACAGAAAGCTCAAAACCTCAAAGAAATTGTCCCTAAGGCTTTTGCAGTGTATATATAGTCAAGGTGTCTAAACTCTTAGGAATTATTTAGTAAAATTATTGATTTAATAAAATAAAACATATATTTCACTTTACATAATCATGGGTAAATATTATCGAAATTAAGGTAATTCAGTTTGACTATATATAATCATTTCATTTATTATATTTATGGATCGACATTGAGTAAGGCATTGTACTCCTATCTCCCAGTCCCAGGTTTGATTCTGGTTTTTGACAGATAATCTATTACACCAGCTGTATATCAACCCTGGAGTTAAGAGATCCTATTTGGGCATACCCAGCCACTATAAAGTGGGTTATAATCAATTAATTAAAGGGAAGCTAGTGATTGAGTATCATCTTAATTATATAACCTCCTTGCTCAACCATTGTGGTATTTGCAATTTTAATCATATTTTCAAAAATATCTTCCCAGTGGTATTTTGAGGAGCCCTTGGTGATCATCCATAGACTGCTAGGAACCCATGAACCACTTGCACCGTTGTCTATAACTTTTGAAGTTTAGTTTGCTTCATCGGCAGGAAAGAGCACTTCTAAAAAGAAAAAAACAGTGTAAAGCTGTTATATGTTGTTTATAAGAATAGAGCACGATTTCTTAGCTCAGATATCTTCAATTAAGAATAAAACTAAAAAATTATATTGGAAATCGAAGGTGAAATTTCTATGTTTCAAAAAAGAAACGAATTGCAACAACATTAACTTTTTATGAACCTATTAATTTATATTACCAATATTGTAGATTGGATAAAATGTAGAATTAGTTGTGTTACAAAAAAAGAAAATATGCTTATTTAAAAGGTTCTAATTTTCCAACGCCATTTAACTTTCGCTGGTGTTTAACCAAAACATGTATAATTTGGCTTGGTTTGTTTTAACTAAATGTCATTCATATATTTTGATATTGTATTTTTATTAATCTTAAATGTTTAAAAAAATGTAAAACATGGCAGTAAAGAAATTACTTAGATTTAATTTTTTTATTTTAACAAATATTCAAGTCTATTTTCTTAATATAATTGACTTTTTCTATGATTTTAGATTGTTAACGTATGGTTCACCTTTAATTCAATTGTCGAAAATTATATTTTTAATTCTGATGAAATGGAAAATTCTGTACAACAGCTTGAAAGACTGGTGGAGGAACAGGTAGCTTCAGGAATACCTCACAGGAATATTTGCTTGGGTAAAATATCTTAGCTTACAGTTTCTTTTTAATATACACTCACAAATCGTTTATATCTATTTATGAGTTGTTGTTTTTTTTTAATTTCACGGTTTTCAGTTGAGTAATACTTTAATTAATTCACTGTAATTTTACAGCCTGTCATTTTTGTTTTTGAAACCTTTTAGGACTTAAAATTCTAATAAATAGAAGTTAAATTACTTTAAAAATCGTCTTAATAAAAGAAAAATTTACAGTATCTAAATATGCTTAGATTGCAAATATAATATATCTTAAATGAATTCCTTGATTCTTATCTTAACTTTGTTTGTGTATGTATAGTGGTCAGCAAAATCGTTTTAATATAACTTCGATACCACTTTTATTAATTTTATCAAAAATATTTGGCTAACAATAAATACATATGTTTTAAATACATATTCATATTATAAAATAATGTATGTGTTTATTTTAGTTAAAACTTTTAAATTAATATCTTGAATGAAGTAGTTTATATTTGAGTACCATTTAAGACATTAGGGCATTAATAGGTAGTCAAGTTTTACTGACCTTATATATTCATTTATGAACTGTGTGTAAACACAGGTCCATAAATGTTAGATAAGGTTTAAATTTGGACTCTGGAGAGGAGTTTCATGTTCATTTGGATAATATAGCATATAATAGAGCATATATAGCAACCATTTCTGTGAGAGGAAAGCTTGGGCTAAAGAATAACTAATCTGGTAAAATTTGTACCCATTTTTACTGCACTATCCTCAACATTCTTCGAAAATAATATAAGGAATAAATGAGAAAAATCGGGAAAACAAGCCAGGCCAGGCACCATTACAATAATATTAAAAAAATATGGATTCAAAGTCAGGGTGAATGACAAAAGACCTCTAATAAATTTAATAGAAAAATAGGTTAGCTTTTACAAGATGATTTACTAAAAAACTTAATCGTTACTCAAGTAATGTAATAGATTTAGGTGAAAACAAATTTAACATTAATATTGTGAAGAAAATTTGGAAGTGAATCGGAGTAGAAGAGTTTGTCTGATTCTTCTTCTTCCCTCTAGATGGCTATGTCAGGAAGTAAAAAAATTAAATTTAGTGGTTCTCCTTGGGTCCCCCAGACTTCCTAACAGCTTGGCCCCTAGGTCTGTTGGTTGGGTCCATATCTACCAGCTGGCAGCTTTGCATTATGTGCTCTTTGGTTTGTTCGTTTTGGCCACATTCATGTAGCAGCTTTATCTTGAATTTCCTGAAGAGAGGCGATTTTAGGCAGTTGAGGCGAAAAACGACAACCTGTTCTCTTCTTGTTAGCTTAAAATAATCATCATAGTTATTGTGACCTGGGTGACTTGCTCTCTACCTCTGGCTTTGGATGCTTTGTTAACAGTTGTGCACTCCTCCAGCCTAGGGATGATGCTAATTTGGTGGAGCAATGTTCCTTCTTTAACCAATTGGTCTTTAATTTCATTTTTCTCAAGCCCCCGGTGCTCTGGAATTCATTTTAGAAGCACCTCATTGTACTGCACTCTTAGGTCTTCCAGCTCCTCAGCTAATCTGTATAGCGTACTTTTGAAGCATTGATAAATGCTGCATCTATCAGTTATAAAATGCATGAAAGCAGGCACCTCTTAAGATTTCTTAGGATCTTGGCTGCAGTCAGAATGGAGTCATACTATGCTCTATAGTTTACTGAGCCGAGTTCAGTGGGGAGCGCTTTCTGTGGATGTGTCTGTTCGGAGAATTCAATACGGATGCCCCTACTCTGTTTGTGATAGTATTTTTAGCAGACCAATCTGTGTTATGCCCTTATCCGTTTATTCTTAGGATAGGCCGACTTAATGTGCTCTAGAGTGCAGGATCTGGCTGCCAGAGTGTCACTTCAAGCAAGATCAAGTCAAGGTCACTTTTCTTTGTTGTGCCTGGAATTTTTGTATTGATTTTTGGTCTGGTCCATTGTGTAGCAAGTTTCATAGCTTCTGCTTTGGGATTATTTCGGGGATGATTAAAACAAAATTACAATTAAAGGTAAAGTTGGTATTGTTCTTCTTAAGGCGAGTATGTCAGCATGTGGAATCAAGAATGAGGTTTTTATCAATGGAGTAACCGAGAAGTATAAATTTTAAAGAAATCAAATATATGAATATTTTTGATAAAATTAATAAAAGTGGCATCAAAGTTATATTAAGATGTTTATATGAAAAAAATATGTTGTAAAGAATTGTTTTTGTTAAATTTTTTATTTCCAAACAATGTGTGTTTGAAAACTTTTGCTGGCTATTGCAGATAAGAATGTTCAAGCCAATTACTAATTTTTATATTTACTAAATTGGCTTCCATGAACAAATACAAAATGGTGTTCTTTACCTCCGGGTAATGATATATCTTTATGTGCAACATTAAGGAATTTGTTAAATTGCCCTCCAAGATACTTACTGACATCTATGCTTTGGAATTATTTTCAAAACCTGGAGTTACTTCATAGTGGGCAGAGACTTTAACGATAACCACCAATTTTGGGGGTTACACGTTATTCACACCAACAGGAAAAAATCTGAGGGCTGCTATCCATGAACTTTCATTAAACACTATATCGCCTGATACACGTTCATATTGGCCAGCCTCTCGATGCAAAACTCCAGACCTACTATACTTTTTCATAACCAAAGGACTGCGGACCATACCTCACACTATAAATACAAACTTCGACTATTCTCATATAAACTTGGTTAACCTAAATGAGCCTATCAATCTTTCACGAAACCCAAAACTCATAAATGGGAAAATGGATTGGAATTCTTTTAGAGTCTTTCCTTCTCGACAGATTTTTCTCTGTCCAATAGTGCTTTGAAAATACCTCATCTCGACTAGTGTTGACAGATGTGCCTTGAGGATCAATATTGGTTCCTTTACTGTACATTATCTATACGCATGACATACCTACCACTTCAGAAACTTTGACTGCTACTTACACTGACAATACAACAATTCTAACAAAATACCACGACCCCAGACTAGCCTCACTAAATTTACAAAATCACTTAATAAATTTAGAATATTGGTATTGCAAAATAAGATTATATCATAGTAAATCACAACATATAATATTTACACTTCGACGGGACACATGCCCACCAGTTTATATCGGGGACAACCAAATTTCTCAGATGGATCCAGTGTGTTATCTTGAGTTAATTTGATGGAAAGATGATCTGGAGCTCAGAGGTCAAAGGGAAATGAAGGACTTTGAACAAATGACTGAAAATACTATAGACACTTTTTTTTTCAAATAAAAATTGAAAATCAGACAAAAACTAAATACATACACTTACCTATTCAAACCCATATGGAGATATACCTCACAAATTTACGCTTCTGCAAAAAAGACGCACTTGCAAATACTACAATGATTTCAATACAAATTTTTAAGACTAATAACCAGTGCCAGCAACAGGGGCGATTGCCCTGGGCGCTGATCTTGAGGAGCACCCATTGGTGTGCCCATCTAGAGGAGCAACCATGAGGGACGCCGATCGTTATTGGCTCTCTCCACTTGTTAAAAAAAAAAAAAATGCAAAACATTAAAATAATTAATTTTAGGCTATTAATAAAGCTTTTATATTAGAGAAATATCAAATGAAACAAAATTTGGTACTTGTCTGATAGCTGGTCAGGACGAAACCTCTCTTCTTATCTCTTGTAAGTTGTGAGTTATACCATTGTTTATTTTTGTTCTTCGTGTAAGTTGTGTTATTCCATTGTTTATTTTTGTTCCATTTGTGTGATTTTCTTCAAATTATGGATGTTATTACATTCTGGGAATTGCCGTCTTCAGAAGAAGAGGCTATAGAATATTTTCAAAACGCCAGGATAATTCCAAACATGAAAATACAGTCGGACAAAGAGCACCTGAAACTGTCCAAGGCAACTATGATAATGTGGAACACATTTTTAAGAGAGGTTTCTGCCCATAACATTTTATACAGGTAAAGTAAACAAATTGGAGGACCTGACAAAGTCATTGAAGTAGACGAGAGTCTTTTTTCTAAAAGAAAAAATTATGTAAGGAGATTTCTACCTGAGCAATGGATGTTAGATGCCGAGAAACAGGCGAGAGTTTTATCGTCAAAATAAACAGTAGAAAGGCAACAACTTTATTACAAGGTATTAAAAACAATATACAAGAGGGAAGTATCATTTATTTTTTTGGGCAGAGGAAGATGATTTAATTGCTCAGGGGCAACGAATGTCCAGCAGGCATTGCTAATAACAGGAGCTCTCTAGTACGTAAACAACAAAAGTTTATATAACGACTTACGACAACCAACTGTCGACCAACACATATGTACTATCTACTTCTGATTCCATCTTAAACTACACAGACATCACAACGGACTTATTAACGACATGGCCACAGTTGAGATGCCCATCAGGAGATGACTGAAGAGGTTGAGAGATCTCCTGAATTAAGGAAGTAAACCAAGACCAGGAAGAGGTGCTGCTGGGTACTAATCTTCCTCATGCCTCAAATACCAATTTTATTAATAATTATAACACATCTGCTTATTCTAAAGGTCATGGCAGGTTTGGATGAAAATATGAATATAAAAAAAAGGAATTCACCATCTTTAGCAATGTCAATAAGTATAACATTTTATCTTGCAGTCGGCTATTCTTCTGGTGGTATGATGTCTATATACTTTGGCTATGGATATGCTAGAAACTTAGGATGTATTGGAGCTATCTCTTCCTACATAGCATCTAGCTCTGATATATATGAGGTATGTACATGCACATTTGGTTGTCAGCAATATATTGTTTTTTTTTTTTATAATGATTAAAATATTAAAAATAATTTTTTTTTTACAAAGTGTTTTGAAAAATGTGAAGAAAACCATGGATTAACATGGCTCAAAATTAGAATTTATATCTGATGTAATATTTGTAGTTTGCAGTTGAATGTTCTATATCAATATGACCAAAACTAAATTGTTGATCAAAGGTTTAAACCATTGTATATTATGATTCTGGGAGGGTTTTTTTCCACAATATCCTTTTGGCAATATAGATATTTCAAAGTTCTTATAACAAAAAAGGTATTGTAGTTTCTTTTTTGAGGACATAAAGGCTATAAACCAATTACATGTAGATGAGTGGGAAGGTTAAGTTTTAATCAATAGGTCAACATAAAAGAAAAAATAAACCTTGGGAGTTGGGATTCAAATTGTTATTATTTCCTATCCAAAATTGCTTGGTTGGTAAATTGCTCAACAAACTTAGCCACCATGGCCTCTGTTGTAAATGCTGTAACTTTAATTATAAAAACCGATTTTTTATTATTATTAATTTTTTTTTTTATATTATATAGGCTTTCCAACTGGGATTGCCTCTTCATGCCAGTATTGAGCACCAGAAGTCGCGGTTATTAAATGTAATAATAATGCTAACTCACAAATCATATTTCTTTAATTGAATAGGTAAATTCATTCAATTTTTTTCTCTCACAAAATATTTACTTTTCCTTGAGAATGTACATTAAGTAAATCTTATTGGTCTGAAATTGATCTACCGAAGGATATATATTAACCTGTTTATTAATTAGAACTTACAAATGAATACAAAGCTAAAATATATGCATTTACATATTATTTGTATTATGTATATACTAGTAGGCCTGTGTGAATAATTCACAGAAAATTATCTTTAGTGGAGGAATAGCAAAACAATATGGAAATAAGTAGGTCCTATGTATTATGTAAGGAAGGGATTTATATTTTTTCCTTGGTTGATTGCAATATTCCGTCTAACATAATATACCAAAGTATTTGTACAAATTGCTATGCTAGAGCCTATTTCTAAACGCTAACTGAAAAGGTAACATTCAAAATAAAGCCTCAATCATGGGAATTTCTAAATTATTAAAAAATATAAAAATGTACAAAAAATAATGCCTTTAAGAAATAATAAAGCATATATCAGCCAGGAAAAAAATGTAGTATAATAGTTAATGCAGTATCTTTAAAGAGGAAGAAATTATCAAGCATACCAGAACTAATGGACTGTTTCTTTGTTAATCATTGTCCCATTTTTACAATTTTTTTTTGTTTTGTATATAATTTAGTAATCTTTCTAATTATCATGGGTACAATTCACAAAAAAAATGCATACTTTTGGAGTTATTTGCAAGTAAAAATTCTTTTCCTTCATAACTTTTTTGCCAGAAATTTCAGGGGGAATAGGACTATTTTTCGCAGGTGAAGGAGAAGAATATCCTCAAAATGAGTGGTCAATCATTGGATTTGATGAAGAATTTATGAAGTTATAGCGTACCGACAAAAAAACACCTTTTAGAAATAATATATAAGATTACATGATTCAGTGAGTTATTTATATATGTAAATTGGTTGCTTAAACATAAATATGTTTTTAGTTTAATTACATAAATAAACTATATCTGTACCCCAGAGTTTAAAAACACCATGTTGATTTTTGTATTTGTTCAGGAGAGCCATTGTTCCATAACTTTGATATATTAAAATTTGTTTCTTAGTTACTAAATTATTTAATAAAAAAATGGACATGGTGTTCTTTCTTTTAAAAATATATATATATTATTAATAAATTAGTATTGAGTACTAATTTTGTATTTATTGGATTACTATTTCTATTGTTTTATATTTATATTAATAAACTGTGTTTTTAGCATTAGATTAACTTCTACTTATTTCTAAGATTAGGAATTATTTGACTTTCAAGTATTGCCATAATGTTTGTGCAGAGATCACTGATACATATAATGCAGAAATTGAAGGGTAAGTATTAACTAGAAGAATTGCCAATTGAGAAGGAAGATACCTAGTTTAATCTTCAGAAGAAGTTGATATATTTAAAGTTAAACATCTATTAGGAATTACTCAAAATAAAAACATGTTCAAGCGCCCAGTTTACATTTTTACTTTCACTTAACTATATATGTAATATATAATAAAGGAAACTATTTCAATCATGAAACAGATGTATATCATGAATATGATATACATCTATATGATGAGTATATCATGAATATGAAACTGATATTATTTATTTAAGATAGGTATATGCTTTAGATTTCACAGCAACTTTTTCATTAAAATCAGCTAACCAGAAATGCCACTTTATATCAACGGTGAAACACATTTTTACAATTTTCTCAAAAACGACTCTAACTATTTTGATTAAACTCGGTGAAGCATTGTATAATTAAGTGGTCTTTTATATCATTTAGGTCTTATCCCCATTGATGTCACTTTACAGAGCTTAAATACCCAATGTTCATATAAGTCTTCCTCTAAAGTACCTTTAAAATGGTTTATTTAAAAAAATTAACTCTTTTTTATTAACAGTAACTATAAAAAATGGCTAAATATGAAGTTTGAAAGATTATGATAATTGCAAACTGAAGAAAAAAAGAAAAATGCTTATCCAGATTGACAATAAATCTCTGGAAATACTAGTCATAAGGTATAATACGTATAATTTATCATTGGAAAGCGGAGAATTTTAGAAAAAAACAATATCTAATATAGAAAGTTGTAGAAGGTAACGGAGAGTGGCAAAGAAATTATAAATAATGATTTTAGAAAACTAATAATATTTAATATAAATCACATGTTTTCACGGAAATTCAATGAAATTTACTAACTAAAAGTAAACATTTAAAATATTTTTAAGTATGAAAAAAGTATTTAAAACCCACGGATTCAAAACAATGACATTGTTTAAATAACTATTTCATTGTACTTGTGTGAAAGAAGAAGTAAAATATATAATCATTTCATGGATGTATAAACCATATGTTTATAACCTTAAATACATTTACTGTAGTTTAATAATTCTAGACTGATATTATATATAAATAATTAGGTATCTATAGACCGTTTATTCCGAAAAATCATCAAGTGCACCTTTTAGAAAATTAAATTAGTGAATAATTTGATTAATTTTCCCTTTCTTAAATCCCAACATTATCCACTCACAATTAGTGTGACATGTTTTGATCTATCCCCAACAAGCAATGAAAATCACATAATTTCATTTTAGTAAATTTTACAATGGAAAATAACAGTTTTATAAATAATAGTCCTACGATCCATAATCATTTATAGGTTAAATATTCAGATGTACTTTCAAATCTCTCTAGGCATATATGAGCCTTTCAGTTGACAGAATGACTAACTCCAATTTCAATATTCTTTATTATTGGTTTTAGTGATGTTTCTAGAGGGAAAATTTATACCTTTATTCACCATTCTATATTTCAATATTGCAATCATCTACTCTGGAATCAACTTACTTTCTGTACAGATATAACTTTTTCAACTAGAAATATCACTAAAATGAAATTTCTCAAAAATGTTGAAATTGGAGTTAGTCATTCTATCAACTGAAAGGCACGTATAGATCAGGCATTGAAGTTATTTGGTTTTAAAAGGAGATGGAGCAACTAGATTTTGATTGTCTACCATTGATATAATAAATAAAGATTTTGTAATTTCAATCGTCTTAATGATTTGTTATCTGTAAGCTTTAAGCTTTAGCTCCGTTTAAAATGCACTTCAAAAATTTTATAATAGCCAAACATTGTCAGAAAATAATTTCTATTCAAAGTAGAGCGGTAAGTGAAAGTTGTGTGTTGCGCGCACCAGATTTTTACTTTCTCTTACCTATTATGTAATATATAGTAAGGGTACGTATTACAATCGTAAAAAACTTTTCGAATCTGAGTTTTCAACAAAAATACACGTTCTGAGGTCTCTTGAGTCCAAATATCCAAGTCCCACAAAATGGTCTGTGAGTGCATATGTATGTGAACAGTCTAGCTAAAAAAAAAAATTGGTACGAAACTAAAATTGCTTATTTAAGGTTTTTTATATGCTTCAGATGTTATAGCAACTTTTTAGTCAAAATCGGCAAACCGGAAGTGGTACTTTCTATCAACTTAACACATTTTTACGATTCACTCAAAAACAGCTTTAACGATTTTGATTCCTTCCTGGCAACTTTTGCTGATGACACCGCCATTCTATCATCCGACTCAGATCCCAACATAGCATCCTTAAATCTCCAAAACCACCTCACCTTGATTGAGCACTGGTGTAATAACTGGCGCATTAAAGTTAATGAATCTAAATGCCAACATATTACCTTTACACTCCGACGCAGTTCCTGTCCACCAGTACACTTTAATTCCATCCAGCTTCCTTACTCAGACACAGTCCGGTATCTTGGCTTTCATTTAGACCGAAGACTAACGTGGAACCCACATACTAGACTCAAAAGACAAGAACTCAACCGACGATACGGCCAGCTATACAGACTACTAAACAGAAAATCCAAACTTTCTATTGAAAACAAATTACTTATCTACAAGACAATACTGAAACCTATATGGACATCCGGACTTGAACTGTGGGGGACAGCAAAAGCTTCTAACATCAAACGTATTCAATCCTTTCAATCTAAAGTCCTTCGAACAATAGTTGATGCTCCGTTCTATGTAAATAACAAAATCCTACACCATGACCTTAATATCCCATTTGTCCTAGACCTTATTCCAGAAAAATTCTCCAAATTTCACCAGAACCTTACCTATCATCCAAATCCCCTTGCACAATATCCAGCACCACCCATCCTTACAATCCTCCTCGAAGGTTGAAGCGGCAGTGGCCCAGAGACCTTTTGTAAATAAGCATCTATTGGAGTTGTGGCAATGGCCAGATCCTCCACTCAAGCCCGAGTGTGTATGATTAGGTTAGTTCTTTTGTTTATATTTATTTTATTTTATTGTATTTATTTTTATTTTATTTTATTGTATTTATTATTATTAAGTTTCTATATTATTTTTTTTTTTTTTTATTGTAAATAGAGTATGAGTGTGCTTTCTCTGAACACTATTATAAATGTCCTTGATGTGACAGAATGTAATATTTCTAAATAAACAAATATAAAAAAAAAAAATAAAAAAAAAAAAAACTCTTTAATCTAATGTACAATTAAGTGTTTTTTAATATAAGGTATGTTTTTTTCCTTATTAATGTTCTCCAACAGGGTGTAAATATTGATTTTTTAAAAATATTTTCCTCTAAATTATCTTTAATTTGGTCTGATATTATTATTCTAATTATTTCACAATACAGATAATGAATAAAAATGGTTAAATATAAACTGTGAAAAAAAATTGATCATGAGCTAAAGGAGAAATATGAGATGATATTGAGGGATCGAGAATTGAAACTCACACTTGCTTGGAGTAATGAGGAGCCGAGAACTACCGAAGAAACCTGAGTGCGCCCTCAAGCTTGGTGAACAGGTTTTGATTATATTTTTTACTTATACAAGTACGGTTTTCATAAATGTTAGTGCTGGTATTATTTAATATTTAATTGTATAGATTGCAGCAATATAAAAATTAAAATTTGGTATATATAACATTTTTTAAGCAAATATACACACAATGAAATAAAAATGAATATCTGACTTTCTTACTGACACCTTGGTCGAACCAAATAGAATTCAAATTCATGATAAATCAATAAATAATTAAAATTCACAGTCATAAATAATTACTGACGAAAAACATATAAATTAAATATATTAAACGAGAAAAACATACAGTAATTAATTGTTTTAAATAATATTGTGTACCATCTATGATTTTTACTTTTAGTTGTTCCTACCAGCTAAATATTTTAATATTTAGATATTAAATATTTTACTATTACTTTATTTCGGGTGCTAATGACTTAAATGTTTTGGGCATAAAACATCAAATGATGAAAAAACCTATTTTTTACTCAAAGTAGAGCGATAAGTGAAAGTTATGCGATGCGTGCACTGCACCAGATTTTTTTTTTTTTTAGTTTACTTTATGTAGTTTTTAACAGTTGCAAAATTAAAAAAAAAATTAAGTTATTTTTTCAAAGAAAATCAAGATTATCATATAAAGGTGACAATGACAATCACTGATACCTAATCTGATGTACTCTACCTATCTTTGATAACTTATCCGATTTACTCTGACTATTTCCAATACCTTATCCAATTTACTCTGCCTATCTTTGATAACTTATCCTATTATCTTTGACTATCTCTGATACCTTATCCTTAACTTTTTAATGATTATGAGCGGAGAGGATTAAGCAGCCTTGAGGACAGTACAAGCAGCCAAAACTTCTCTTCTTGCCCCTCTGATGGAATAATTTTCATTACCTCTATTAACCAATTTAGGCTTTTTTACTTAGGGCATCATAACAAACTTCTTTATTTTATTTTTTTACCTAATTATCTACGGCCTCTTAGAAAGGCCTCAGGATTGTAGATTCACTAAGGGACTCATTTTTTAACGAGAAAGAGTAGACAGGCTTCTAACTCATATGTGAGTCCACCGTCACCAGGGCATGGTTCCGTTTCTACTCTTATACAAGTCCAACCTTTCATAACGGGCTGTCTGAGCAATCTTGCTGGACAAAACTCAATACAGAGGAATTAATTCTTCTTTTTTTATCAGAAGTATTTCTACTGGAAAAAGGAAATTTAATTGAGGGAATGTTTCTGTACCCATCAAAAGGTAAATTTTACACAGTAGTTGCTCATAAACTGAAAAATCTGATGCGGGGGCATCACACACCTTTTACTTACCACTCTCATCTTAGCAGAAATTATTATTTTCAGACCAAGGGGAAGTGACAGTAAAAATTATAGATGCTATATTTATTTACATTTCGTTATGGTTATTTTTATTTGTTTAATTACCCTTATGTATATATATAGGGTAAATGACTAGTTATGAACACCCTTAATTTGTATTGCCAACAATAAGAACCAGGTGAACTTGAAACAAGAGAATTTCGCTGATTATTGTGCCCCATTGTTATCCCACCCACCAACCTTTCTCTCCCTTCTTTATTTCTTGTCAGGATAGTGACAAGTGTTTCAAATGTCAACATAATTGTTGCAAAAACACCAATTTTTTTAGTAGCAGTCTGTTCATGCTATTGGTTTCTTAAGTATTTGTTCTAATTTTTATTCTCAGGTTTTAATTAGATAATATTGCATTTTTACGCCTGAATATTTTGCTAAAAGCCAAAGTTTAATCAGTTAATGATTACCAGTTATGTTCAGGGTGTTATGTTCAGTTATGTGTCCAAATTAGAAGTATGACGTAGAACAGGTATGACTTAACTAGTGATAGACACACTTCTAAATAATGAACAATGTAAAAAAAAATAATAATAATAACTTACAGAAGAAGTCTTGATATATTTTTAATTATTATATAACAAATATAGTTAATTATTCAGAGAGTTAATGTACAATGATTTTTAAAAATATATATTTTTTATATTCATTTTTTCTATTATTATTTATTCTAGAAATCATGCAACGCTACTCAAATACTTACGATGAAGAGCAAGTCTCTCTAGTATTAGAGGACCTCAAAGTCAGTTGCATTGAAGTTTTATATTCCTCGAGCAACACTAATTAGGAGATTAAGAGATTAACAGAAAGAATAAAATGTACTGATACAGTCTTGACACAGAAAGAAGATGAAATGCCGGTGAAATAGATTCTGGAATGTGCAAGCAATGGATTGCCTAGGAGTAAGATTGACTCACTGTTGAGTAAAGATGTAATAATAAAAAATAAAAAAAATATAGTGACCAAATTTAAAAATAATATACAAGGAGAAGAAAATGGCACAATGTGTTTCTCAAGACAAATCCTGTATTTTCACAACACACTTCTGGATCTGTAACGGCAACTAGTGCATGTGTGAGCGAGAAAGATATAACTTTGCTAGATGGCAAAAATTTCATTACAAACAAGAAGAACGGAAAAAAGAAGGAATTAAACAAATAGAGCACAGCTAAAATTTTCCTAAAAGAGAGTTTAATTTTATTAACTTTAGATCTTTATGTAAATGAAGTGTATTATTGTTTATTTACATTTTATTTATTTGATGAACCTAGTTTAAAAAAATATTTAGAGAATTAGACAAAATTTGTGTTTTTGAATAGATATAAAGGTAAGTACAGAGTTTTCCATATCACATCAAGCAGAACAACCTTAAATTAAAAAATAAAACAAAATCATGTTGTGGTTAGATAAGTACAGATAATTATTTTTTACACGGGGAGTAATAAAAATATATTATCACATCACTTAAAAAAGGATTGGTAACCTGTTAGGTGTTGAGAAAAAAAAATTGGCTTAAAGGTATCCATAACTGGTCATTTACCCTATACAAATTTTAATTTGTATATCACTGTAATCTATACGATTAAATATTAAATCATATCAATGATGGCATTTACGAAAACTGCAGATTTATATGTACATAATATTGTCAGAGTTCATATTAGCTTATGTTACATATGGAAGCCTGTTCTAATCTTTAGGGTGCGCTCGTATTCCTTTGGTTCCTGCATTACAACTATTATCTGTTACGATCTCCTATTCCTCCTTTAGATTATCTAATTCTTTCACATTTTGTATTTAATTATTTTTTATATCAAAGATTAATTATTTAAATTAAAAAATATTAAAGGTACTTTAGATGAAGCTAATATTGAAAATTAGCCATTTAAGCCCTGTTAGTGAACATCAATGAGAATAAAATCTACATTATTTTAAAAGCTGCTTAACTATACATTGATAAAGTGAGTATAATTAAAATCATTAGAGCCTTTTTGGAAACAATCTTAGAAATGTTTTTAATCGATAATATAAAGTACCACTTCCGATTTTGACAAAAATGTTACTTTAACATTCCAGACTTATAAAAACCTCAAATACGCAATTTCAGTTTCATAGGAATTTTTGTTTTTGAGCTAGGCTATTCAGGCACAAACCCACGCACACGCACACACACAAACACACACAAAGACCATTTTGCAGGACTTGGTTATTTAGACTCAGAGGATCTCAAAACATGTATTTTTGTTGAAAACTCAGATTCTAAAATGTTCACAATCGCAAAAATTTTCCTTACTATATATTACATATATAGACAAGTGAAAGTAAAAATAGATGGAGGATATAGGAATATAAATCCAAAGGCTTTGGAGAAGTCAAGAACTACAAGGATAGTTATAATCTCTCTCTCTCTCTCTCTCTCTCTCTCTCTCTCTCTCTCTCTCTATATATATATATATATATATATATATATATATATATATATATATATATATTATATATATATAATATATAATTTTATTTTGTCCTATAATTATATAAAAATAAATTACAAAAATACAAAATAAAATTATATATATATATATATATATATATATATATATATATATATATATATATATATATATTATATATATATAATATATAATTTTATTTTGTCCTCTCCCTCTTGCCTTTTAGGCTATACAGGATTTTCCTGGGCCAGAGGATAGGGTGGGAGATTTATGCCAGAGTTAAAAGCCCCTCAGGCACTGGGCTTTGTTGATAAGGATAAGGAGATCTGGGAGCTGAGAGGTCTATGCAGTGACAGGGGTACTGAAGGTCATATCGCAAAGAGTGTGGAAGACTGCTGCACCCATCTACCTCACCAGACCTCCCGTTGGCCTAACCATCTGCACCCCTTATCTCGTAGTCAGTTTAACTGGTTCCCGGGCAATACCTGATTTGCATATGCGTTAACCCACCCCCTATAGGAGCCTATATTAGTAATACTGTAATATTGACTTTCCATTATTCTGTTTTAGGAAATACCCAAACAAGGAAATAATACATGCCTAAGACTTCCTCCCTTTTACATCTATGCAGGAGCCTTGGACTGCCTTACTTTGCCAAACTGGATCACGGCAATGGCTAACAGACTGGAGAACATTGGAATACCAGTCACCTATTTCTTTCAGTGGACTGGAACCCATTTCATTAACAAGGACGGTGTTGTAGGTTTATTTCAATTTATTAAAAAATCAATTTTATGATTGCTTTGAGAAATTCTTGATTGTCATAAAAAGTCGCCATTATTAAGTTTGAAGTATAGACTACTCACAGTTAAGCATGAATTCAATTAAACATAAACTATTTAAAATTTTTTATCCATTCTCTGAATGTAAAATAAATTTGTTTTTGAAGAAGTTGTTTGGGATGTTCATTCAAAAATACAAATAAAAATAAATAAATTATATTTAGTTAATTATCAGGCCTTCATCAAGGCTAAGGAAAGACCAGACAACAATAAATATGAGAAATTATTAACAATGAAAAGAAAATAATAATATGCAGGAGAAAGGTATAATCTAATAGCATGTGGGTAGAACAAATTTAACATTTATAAATAAGTGGAGAGCTATAAATATAAATAAAGAAATTATAAAATAACAGTAACAAAGTTAAGAATAGAAAGTAGTGGAAGCAAAGTTAGGATATAATACACAACGGTAACCAAGTTAGGAACTCATGAATAAAATAATAACAGTGCCATAGAGAAACTTATGAAATAAATAATAATAGCAACAAAATTAGGAACTAAAGAAATAAACATAATAAAATTAGGCAACTGACAAAAGAAATGTAATGGAATATTATGAGATAAAAAATGTAAGCGTTAGACGTAGAATATGTTATGAATAAGTTGTTAACTTTTTTACCGTTATGTTTTATATTATAACTTTGCTTCCATTACTTTCTATTTGTAACATTGTTATTGTGATTTTTTTAATTGTAAAAATAATAAAAATCTGTCTGATTTGAGAAATATTGAATTTGATATATTACAATACCAGTGACAAATGAACAAGCCAAATCTGCAAACTTGATCACAAAGAAAAGAAATATGGAGGTTAGGAAAAAATGCTAACAGAGCAAGCATATGCTTATGTTAAAATTATAAACTACATATTTTGTTTAATTTATCTTTTGATTGTCAATAGCATATAAACGTCTTATTATTTTGTACTTTTGAGAAGTAAATGTTTTTTATTTTCATGTTGTACTTTTTAATGTTCATCCTAATCAGTTGGTAATAATATAATGTTGTAGACACCTGTTAATGGTGGGGTGTTTAATAGCAATCTGTTTAATTTATACAGTTTCTTTTATTAAACAGATACAGTAAACTGCTTCACTCGGGATTAAACAGATATAAGGATTACCTTCCATTAGAAAGGGGCAAGTTGTCTTAAAATCTGTGTTGAATTCATCGATGCCATCGAATATATCTCTAAACAGAGAAAAACGAAGCCATCGAAGAACTCAGTGCTGAGTTCAGGAACCTACCCTAGACAACTTACTTTACAGATTAGTTGTAGAGTGGCTTAATAATATAAAAATAATAACAATAATATGATAATATTAGTAAGCCACTGTAGTTAGTAAGTGGAGGCAGCGATCCCGACGAGGAAAAGAGGGAAATACTGAATATGTTTAATTTAAACAGCTACAGAAGCTGTTTAATTTAAACAGATACAGAAACCTGTTAATTTAAACAGCTTCTTGCAACAGATACAGGAACAGTTCTCTGAAACGGATACAGCCATCCCAAGCAGATACAGCCATCCGAAGCAGATACAGCTATCCGAAGCAGATACAGCCATCCGAAGCAGATACAGCCATCCGAAGCAGATACAGAAACTGCTCCTTGCAGCAGCACTACTATACTTCGATGAATCACTGAACATCAACCTATAAACAGCTATACTGTCTACTGTTTAGTGAACAGTTTTAGCAACTCCTTTTCCTATCAAATTACTATTTGATCATAATTTTCACTAATAAATTTATATAACACCTTTAAAATATATTATGATTCAAAATTATAATTTTAATGCCACTTTGACTTTTGTCGTCAATTATAAATACTTTTTTTTGTCCCACAGTTAATATATTATGAAGGTATAGTTAAATTTAACATTTAAATTGATAATTATTTTTAAAACAAAAATTATATTCATTCATTCGTTAACTTCACTCTATAAATATTGTGGCTAATATTTTAAAGGATCTTATGAAATAATTTGTGATTAATTTAAGTGAAACCAAATATTCTCTTGGGTATTTAAGGTACTTTTTTTTTTACTTGTCTAATTTCTAAACAGTCATATCTGTTTTTTGAAAGCAGCAGAAACTGTTACAACTGCTAATTATGTTAAACAGCTTTTCTGATCCTGTAAGTACAAAGTGTGAGTTCTGCTGGATTGATGCAGTAGCAGTTTGATTGACTTTTAAAATGCCAAAGTGAAATAAATAAGATAAGATTATTATTAATAAGATGCTGGATTATTTAATTAAAATGCATTAATACAAAGCATAAATGAAGGCTTAGAAGATATAGTGTAAATATTCTTTCTAGCAGGGTGTCCATCCCTCCCCCCCAAGATCCTTGGCGCAAGAACCTACCTGCTCCCCCTCTCTAATCCTAAGATATTTTATTGCTCACTTGCTGCCGCCTGTTCCATGTCTCCACTTGTCCCTTAGTCCAAAAATTCATAATCCTGTCGAAATTTGCCCCCCTCAAAAATTCAAAAATGAAATCCCCTTCTGGGCACCCCTGCTTTCTAGATCAGTACCTGGTTTGGTGACTGACAGTGGGTCCACAATCAGAAGTTATGGTTATTGATGAGGTTAACGATTGTATTCAGTTTAAATTTTTAACCAGTTAAAAAAAAAACTTTCATGGTACTACTTCACTAGCTGGCCGGGACGAAACCTCACTTCTTATCTATGTTATGTAACACACATTCCATAACCTCCCTCTTCTTATCTCGCCAAACCTTTCAGTTATTACATTATTTATTTTTCAGTTATTCTCTTATTATGTTTACTTATTAAATTATTTAGTTTTGACCCGTTTGTGTTTATTTCTCATTATTTTTTTAGTTTATTTTTTCAAATTATGAATCTTGTTACATTCTGGGATTTACCGTCTTCAGAAGTACAGGTTATTGAATATTTTCAAAACATTGGGATACTCCCAGACGTGAAATTGTGTAAAAAGCGGCGGGTTCGCAAAGAAGAGGACCTGTTCCTCCCTATTTTAAATAGCATAAAACTATTTTGCCTTCCAAAATAAATAAGACAAAATGAAAATAAATTGTACATATGTCGTTTATAGTGTTGATATTTTTTCTTCTTTTATATGTACATATGTTCTTTAAGTGTTTTATTATTATTTCATTTTCATCTTTATATGTAAATATGTTCTTTAAGTGTTTTTTATTATTTCATTTTGATGTTTTATATGTACATATCTTCTTTAAGTGTTTTTTTATTATTTCATTTATATATGTGTCATAAAATAAAAGTATTTTCTTTTGTTATTACATTTGTTTTTGTTTCTGTTTTCTGTTACACTTTCAATAATAGGAATATAATACAATAATACGAAGATAGGCAGTAGGAGAAGGCTTATCAATGTATTATGGGAATTATCAGTGTTGAGGTTATAAACATTGCCAGATAGCAGTCAGTCCCGGCCTGCTAGTGAAGAAGTACCACTTTCACTATTTCAAATTCATTAAATTCTAATATATTTTTCATTAAACTAGATTATAAAAAAAAATCTGGTGCGCGCATCACACGGCTTCCGCTTATCACCCTTTTCTTAACAGAAATAAGTATTTTCAGAGGGGAAGTGAAAGTGAAAATTATAGACGCTATATTTATTTAAATTTTAATGTGGGTATTTTTATTTGTTTAAATACCCTTATATATTCAAATTTAAATGTTTATATAGCTTTAATCTATACAATTAATTATTAAATAATACCAATCATAGCATTTATGAAAACCACATATGTATATTTATATAATATTGTCGGAGTCCGTAGTATATTAAGCTCATGTTACATATGGAAGCAAGTCCTAATCTTTCGAGTGAGCTCGGGCCAGCTTGTATTTCTTTAGTCCCTTTATTATAAGTATTCTCAGTTACGATCTCTTGTTTCTTCTTTAGTTAATTATCAATTTTTTTCATATTTTATATTTACCTATTTTTTAAATCAATAATAAATGTAAGATGGTTAATTATTTCATATAAAAAATGTCCACTCATATGACTATCATACCTATTTCAGAAAAGTTTTTATTTCTTTACATATTTCCAAGAAACAAAAAAAAATTGAATTACATTTATTTTCCTGAAAATTAATCGAAGAAAAGATTTGAGTACGATTTATTTGATTAACTAAAGCAATGTAAACCGACTTCAGGTAGATCAGTCTAAAAATTTCAATACCCTCTAATATTGCTGATCAAAAACTTTTTGCCATAGCTTAGTATTGTCAAACAATAATTTCTGTTAAAAGTAGAGGAAATAATGAAGCTTGTGTGATGCAGGAAACAGATTTTCTTACTTTCACTTTGGTGTGACCAATGACTAAAAATGTATTTTTCGAATTCAGGGGGCTCTGAAACGTATAGATCCGACAAAAACCCAATATCGGAAATTTGACTCGATTGCAATACTTTCCTTACCTGGTATAGGTATGGAAGTAATAAAAATATGTGTAGAAAATAGAATAAGCTGTATCATCGCTAATACCGGTTCGATTCCGATGTTTTTTTTTTGTTTTTGTTTTTTTGCAATTTAATTACCTTTCAAAAGCTTTTATTATAAATTTTATCACATAATATATACTTAGCGAGTTAGGCCCCAATACATTTTTCTTTTCTTTATAACATTTTTCCTGAATTTTATTGGGAATTTAGTCCATATACGAAAATTGAAAGGACAATTAGAACATTATAGGAAAGTTTCATCAAAATCGTTAGACCCGTTTTCGTGCTGCAGTCTATAGAAAAACATGTTTTTCATTTATTGCTCATGGAGCACCTAATTTGTGTCACAGGCATCAGTAATCAAAATCCTAGAAACAAAATAAAAAATGAAGCAACAAAATCGGTTCAGTAGTTCGCGAGAAAAATCTTGGCACAGACAGACAGACCAATGTCTAAAAATGTGTTTTTTCGGACTCAGGGGGCTATGAAACTTACAGATCCATCGAAAACCGCATATCAGAAATTTGACTCGATTGCAATACTTACCTTACCTAGTATAGGGAGGAAAGTAAAAAAATGAAGGTACTTCAGAGA